GAATGATTCAAGTAAAGGAACTTGGAGAATAAATTGGACAGGGATAAATTCTTGTGTTTCTGCAGTAGAATTCTTGAAGAAAAACTCTTCTTTGGGTAGTCATCATTGTTATGGTGACACACGTAATTTCTTGCCGAGTAGAACTGTCTCAGCTGAGACTAAATGCAACATTGCAGAGATAGTCCACTTTGCTAATTGTTCTGTTAATGTAGCAAATCTCGAAGACATGGTGGTGGTGGCTATCCACACTGGAAGAATTTACTCCGTTGCTGAGGTTCTGAGTAACACATCTGCTGAGAGTCCTTTTGATGGAAAAAAAGACAATGTCCCCTCAAAATATAGTACATTTTCTGAGTACTTCAACAATAAGTAAGTGATTTCATACCCTGTATGATGCTTTGTAAGTAGTACTCTACAGTTTTCATAATGATGCTAATTCTGTTCAGGTATGGGATTGTACTCCAGTATCCGGGGCAGCCTCTGTTGCGATTGAAGCAAAGTCACAATCCACACAACCTTCTTGTGAACTTTAGTGGTGAAGGTTTGTTGATTTAAATGCTTGAGCTTATAGAAAATCGGCCTAACAGTGCTCTATTACTTGAGTACAATCCTATCTTATTCCTGCATCTTCAACTCCCATTAGTTATTAACACTTCAAATTGACAGCTGTTTCCATGGTTTCTTGCCAATAATGGTCCTCAGTAATTATTATTATTTTGAAGTGAATAGTTGGGAAATTGTGGCCTTGTGGGTGGTGGGATTGGGTGGTTGACTTGTTGAAGAGGTAGTAGTTGCAATGATATGAATAAATCTATTTCGTACATTCTGCTGAACAGTAAATAGAGGTGCAAAAAAGGTGTGGTATGGGTGGTTGACTTATTGCAGAGTTAGTCAATGCAAATCATATCAATCAATCTATATGATACATGCTGTTAAAGCCATTTAGCAGTACTGTCTCGCGTTCTATGTTTTGTTGCTGATATTTTCTCTCAACTGGGCAGGTGGTGGTGGTATTGAAAGGCAACGCATGTATGCTCAAATGCCACCTGAGCTTCTAGTCAGTATTGGTGTCCAAAGATACGTTTTAAAGTCCTTTTATTTAATGCCATCATTGATTCACCGTTTGGAATCCTTAATGCTAGCGAGCCAACTTAGAGAAGATATCGATTGTCATTCTAGCAGCTTTCAGATATCAAGCTCATTGGTGTGCCATACTTGTGATTTGTCTTTTTTTGGCTTTCCAATAAAGTTATATGATTATTTTGACCAATTTTTTCATTATTAGATTCTAGAAGCACTTACAACACTCAGATGCAATGAAGATTTTTCTATGGAGCGCTTGGAATTGCTTGGGGATTCAGTTTTAAAGTATGCTGTGAGCTGCCACCTCTTTCTCAAATATCCCAAAAAACATGAAGGACAATTATCTAATTTGCGCCAGTGGGCTATTTGTAACTCAAACCTACATAAATTGGGAATAAATCGCAAATTACAGGTATTTGCCAGTATATGCTATCTATGGTTTACATTTATTTACTCGGTTACTGATGTTCATGCTCATGTCAGAATGACTTTGCATTTCTTCTTTGATAGGGATATATACGGGATGGTGCGTTTGATCCACGTCGTTGGGTTGCTCCAGGACAGATTTCTCTGCGACCAGCTCCTTGTAATTGTGGAGTAGATACTTTAGAAGTCCCAGTAGATAGCAAATTCCAAACTGAAGATCCCAAAGTTGTGGTTGGAAAGTCCTGTGATAAGGGTCATAGATGGATGTGTTCAAAAACAATCTCTGATTGTGTTGAAGCCCTTATAGGAGCATACTATGTTAGTGGTGGATTGCCTGCTGCACTTCATCTGATGAAGTGGTTCCATATTGATGCAGAACTTGAGCCCTCTCTGGTTGCTGAAGCAATTACTACTGCATCTCTTCGTTCTTACAACCCAAAAGCTAATGAGATTGCAATTTTGGAGTCAAAGCTTCATTATGAATTTTCTACCAAGGGTCTCTTACACGAGGCCATAACACATGCATCTGAGCAAGAATCAGGAGTTGGCTGCTGTTATGAGGTAATGATGACAGTCATATGTGGAGCCCTTGATTTACTATTTAAATTTTCACTTTTTTATTTTCTTTCCCATTTTCACAAAAGAGGATGGTTCTAGAATAATAACGGGAAAATCTGTTTTGAATTTGGAAACAAAAATTTTTGATATGAAAAATGAATCTGGGAAAGATTACTTTTTTCACTTATAACTTAAGTAATAAATTGCCAAATATAGAATAAACTGTGAAAGTTCCATATACTTCCTTTTCTTAACATCTTTAATTTTGTTCACAAAAAAAAAAACATCTTTAATTTTCAACAGAGACTAGAATTTCTAGGGGATTCTGTGTTGGACCTGCTTATCACAAGGCATCTCTATGATAGCCACACAGATATTGATCCAGGCGAGTTAACTGACTTACGTTCAGCTTCTGTTAATAATGAAAATTTTGCTCAAGTTGCTGTTAGACAAAACCTTCAGCAGCATCTACAACATTCCTCTGGGTTACTTCTAAGCCAAATAACAGAATATGTGAAGTCTCTTTCTGAACCTGACAATGGTACCACACTTCAAGGCACAAAAGGTCCTAAGGTAAGTTCTTGCTGATTGTTAAATGCTCTTTCTTTTCAATGCTTTCCCAGGGTTTGCTTGAAGTTTTGTTTTCAAGTTTTTGTAAAAGATTGAATGTCTGCTTGCTTTAGGCAGTTATCCTTTTTATCTTTATTTGGTTCGTTCTGCTTTCTAATTTGAAGATCTTTGGGGGTTCTAATGTATACTTCCCATGTATTTTAGGCATTTCTCATTTAAGTAAATCATTTGTTTGTTGCTGTTAAAAGATATATTTTCACACAATAGCAGTTCTGTAGGCTCTTTGACTGTTGAACTTCCCCTTAGCTCGATACTCCCACCATCCCTATTATTATTATTAGCAGGCCACCTCTTCTATAAGGAGAAGCTTTCCAGCATAAAATCCACCCTTTTCCAAATATCGTACCTGATAATATTTTTGTTGTAATTATCATCATTATTTTATCATTGTGAATATTGTTGTTACTATTATATTACTGTTTTGTGATCATGAATAGTTTCTCTGCAGGCTCTTGGAGACATGGTGGAAAGTATTGCAGGGGCAATACTAATTGATACCGAACTTAATCTTGATGAAGTGTGGAGAATATTTAAACCATTATTATCTCCAATTGTGACCCCTGACAAGCTTGAGCTGCCTCCACTGCGTGAACTGATTGAATTATGTGACTCACTTGGGTACTTTATAAAAGAAACGTGTACAAAGAAGGGTGAAACAGTTCATGCGAAGCTTACTGTACAGCTGAAGGATGTTCTATTGATTGGAGAGGGGTGCGATCGGACTAAAAAAGCTGCAAAAGGGGAAGCAGCTCGACGTTTACTGAAGGAACTTGAGGTTTGTTGGTTCTCTAAATGTCCGCATCCTACTCTTTTAGTTAGTATTTGGTTGCAGGAATGAGAATGGAATGGAATCAATAGAGAGTGAACTTGACTCTATTGTTTGATTGCAAATTGGATCAAGCTTAGAATCAGATTTGAGCTCGCGGTTCCAGTCTGGGTCTAAGTTCTTGGGTTCTAGGGTCCAAGAGGTCTGGGGTCCAGTTTTTTGTCTTGGGTTCTGTGTCCTGGTCCAAGGTTTAAGGTCATGAATTGATCGTTAATGAGTACAGTTTGCCAGATGTTTAATTTTTTTTTTTGGGCCTCTCTGAGTCACCAATTTTTTTTATTTTTTTCTTTCTAACGCTGTACTATTTTGTTATGCAACAGAAAAGAGATATTTCATACTCCTGGTGTTCCAAGAAGAGAAAATTGGGCTCTGAAGGAGTAGGTGATTCTTTTCTCCTTGACATCAACTATAACGTCTGCAGCCAAGTAAATGTTGAAGATTCTTCAGAGCGAGTAATCTATAAAAAGAAAAGGACAACTGAGAGAATTGGAGTTTTTCCGGCAGTCAATGAACCGAAAACCTCTAGTCCCAACGATACCGCACCGGGTTTGCACCATCTATTTGTTCTGATTATTTATTAGGGTGGGAGCTGGCTTACCATGTGTTATTATCAAGCATTATTTTTTAATTATGTCGCGGGTGCTTGCATGCAGTTATTAAATCAATCAACATGAAGAAAGGAGGACCTCGAACATCTTTTTATGATCTGTGCAAGAAACAACAGTGGAAAAGGCCCGACTTTGAATCATCAGAAACTAAGTCAAGGTACTACAAAAACTGGTGTATTTGTTTTGTGTTTTTTTTATTTCTGGCCTCACAATTGTCTTTCTTCGCGTAGAACTCCAATTGACTTTGGTGAAGGCTCAAGTGCGCATTTTAGCAGTTTTGTCTCAAAGATAACGTTGCACATACCCAACTTCGGCGACATTGAATGCACAGGAGATGCTAGACCTGATAAAAAAAGTTCAGAAGATTCTGCAGCACTTGCCATGCTTTATGAGCTTGAGCGGCAAGGCAAACTTATCATTGGTGGATGATCATGTATCTATCTTGCCTGCTAGTTTAATGAATAATTCGAGAAATCGGAGGGTGGTACCTTTTAAATCCACCAATCTTAATATGAAGCAGTTAGGATGTTGCTTGTCAGGAAATCTCACAGCAATGTGAAACTATTTGAAGGCGGCACCATAAAGAAAAATGTAAATAATGTGCTGTCTCCATCAATGTTTTCAATGGTACAAGGTATCAATATATATATATATATATATATATATATATATATATATATATATGTTCTCTTTGA